ATTCTGTACTTCTTTTAAGATTATCTTTTTATCAGAATATTTCAATTTGATTTAAGATACAACTTTACAATGTAATATTCTGATGAATTAAAATGATCAATATTGTTGAATAAAAAAAGCTTTGCAATACTCATGCTTTATAATTATTTATCCTATATACATCTTTCTATCTTTCATTGTTTAATTAAGTATAAAATTATAGTAGAATAATGAGATACACCGAATATATTTTTATTTGCGATGACTTGAAAGATTCTATAGATATAGATAAATATTAGCATTACACTTATAGTCATCACATACATATAGATAATATAATTCTAAAAATTTTTTATTAAAGATGAACTTATCCTATATCTGTTCTATATTTATTGCAGATCGCACCGTGCTATTGTGGTACACGAAGGATTTCACGTCGAAAAATCGTAAATCTTTGCGCGTTAACATAGAATTTGATCACGCAACTTTGATACGCTGGTCCCCGGACGGAAAGGCATTCATTATTCACAAAGCCATGGCTAATACCATCGAGGTGTATAAGATCGCAAAGAAATCTGATGGTTATTTAGCATCTGCGACCAAGGCGCTGGAATTTCCGCGGGTATATTATAATATTACTTACTTAAAATATCTCTTCTTCGCTATGTTATATTTCTGCTAACGTTTTTTTTTGTTTTGATAATAAAATAGTGATAAAAAATATAAAAATGTATCATATACTGTTCAATTTAATTGCTGAAAAGTTAACTACTATGTAAATCTGTTATTTTGTAAGATTACGTATGTGCACACTATATATCAATTATTTTTATCCTTAGCGTCACACCGAAGATGTTGTCGGAATGGATATCGCATCCACCGGGAAGTACATCATCACGTGCAGTACTGCAAACGATCTTATCATATGGGATTTGAAAGGACAACCGCTAGCAACTGTGGAGATGCATCTAGGATCTACTCATCGTGCGCGTATATCACCTTGTGGTCGATTCGTTGCTGCCTCTGGTAAACATACGCGATTTTCGCTGAAGAATGTCGTTAACTATATATACAAGCTCAGAAATACAAAATTATATTAATAAAATCATATATTGCAAGGTTTTACACCGGAAGTGAACGTATGGGAAGTGGTGTTCGGTAAATCCGGAGAGTTTAAACAAGTAATAAAAGCATTCGATCTCGCTGGGCATACATCCGGGGTCCACGACTTCGCTTTTAGCGCTGACACAAGTCGTATGGCCACTGTGTCCAAGGACGGGACATATCGTTTCTATGATATAAAAAGTAACGCACAGTATTATTTATTGGTGAAACCACAAAATTCGAACAATAAGTATAAGAAAATTCTCTTTTCAGTCGAATTCGAGAAAGGGGAAGATCCGCATCTTTTGATGACTGGAACCTGGGACAATATGGCTCCGGCAAGCCTGGCTTTATCACCGAATGCGGAAGTCCTGGTGATCGCGCATGGATCGTCTATATCATTTTATTCTACCATTACCGGTGTTCTGGATACCACTATACAAGACATCTTTGTCGGTAATTATACAATCTATCGGTCTTCGTGTGACGTTCACTTAGAACTCGATAAACTTTTATTATTTTTATAGAGCCTATAACATGTTTGGCTTTCGACGCTATGGGAGAATACATATTAGTTGCTGGTGATAAACACATCAAGATTTTCCGCAATGTCACTGGATATCGAACTGCGATAGAATCTGCTAAGCGCAAACTGGAGCAGAGACAGACCCAGGCAACAAAGGAACGCCTTGAAAAGATGATTCGCGACAATAAAGAATTACTCGAAAAGATGGAAGAGAAATGTCCAGAATAACATTAACTTACTCCCTTTTCTCGTTTTATGTGAGATGCCAAAATTAATTAAAAATAAAATAAAATTATATTCTTGAAAGGTTTAATGCTTTCTATATCATGTAAATATTGATACATGAATTTATCTATTTTCTGCAAATAAAAATAATTTTCACAAATGCATAAATGTATGACTCTAAATCTGTTCAATTCTTAATGTCATGTGTAGATTTTCAAAATTTACATAGATTTATAAGAAAAGTTTGAAATTTATATAAAAAGTATTTTTAACATTTATGTAAATTTTGAAAAGTTATGGACAATATTGAGAATAAAATTATTCTTTTAATTTTATTCTATTTCTGCTCCATTCTGGTCCATATATCATGCATTCCTTATATTGCATAAAATTCAAACTCATGTTCCAGTACGATGTGGAACAATAAAAGAGAATGAATACAATAAAATTGTATGTCTTCTAAAGATTTTTTACATAAAGAGAGAAACAAAAAGAGATTCTAATATTCTTTTATGTATTATGAATAAAATGTGTAATTAACAAATTCTCTCTTCTAATTTTTTATATTTACCACAGATTCCATCGAGTATGATGATATCAGAATTTGAATTGACTACAAAAACTGTAAATATCTATTAACTTTTGAACAATAAATTTTAAAAATAATTTGAATAAGTACAATTTTAAAACACGCTTTGTTTGAAATTAATTTGAAGTCGCAATAATGGGTACGCATCACACACACATAAATTATCACATTACAGATACTGTTGAAACAATATTTATTGTTACTCTTACATTTTTGACTACCAGGTGTGCTCAAGAAGATAATTATAATTTTCATTAGATTTGTATAACAATGAAGTACACAGAATTGGAATTGTTCACGCATTTTTATACTCTCATAACGTGCCTTTTTCTTTTTGATAAAAATGTGGCCTTTTCTAACAAACTACAAAAAGTTTTTCTATATAATATAAGAAACTATGTACAAAATAGTATCCTTGGCATCATAAGTTGCAAACTATAAACTTGGGCAATGGAACGTGCGATTATGCATGATTGCTCACGTTCGAGAACACGTTTTTGTATAACTTTTGGACAAAAGTGTCTGACACATTCGGTGAAAATACACACAACATCTAACTTAAAGGATATCTTGTGTGGTTTTGTTATATTTTTATTAGATTATTGACATTACTGTCAAAAGAAATATTTTATAGACTCGAATTATTTTAAAACTGTATATATTTTCTTGTTTAATAAAAGAGAAAAGAATACTATGAAAAGAATAATTTTTATTGCTGCATAGAAAAAATATATTGAATGTGTCGTTATTTTTAATGGAAAGTTCTGTTGCTTTTGGACAGTGATATATTTCAATATCATGTTTTTTTTAAACATATACGAATGCTGACTATACTGCAAAATCAGCAGCAGTGAAATAAAATAGAATCCTGCAAAATTCAACACAAATGCAAGAATAGATATCCTTGAAATCAAATACTAGTGTAACTTTATCATTGGTATCACATTTATTGCATTACATGTTTATTACGCTAAATTATACATTATAGAGTTAAGGTTAGTTTAAAAAAAAATTAAATTTGCGATATATATTTTTTCATTGAAAAACATATTTCGTTTAAAGAATCATGAGAAATCTGACAACAAAAATATAATGTAAACAATATGATATTAATTATATATAATTTATAAGATTAAACTATGCAAAACAGCTCTAAAATATGTACTTAATAAGAATTATATGTACTACATAAGAATTTTATTTCAAAAATTATTTTGTATTCACGTAATAACAATGGAAATGCAATACCTATCATTTTTGCGTTATTGTAAATAATAAAAATCCTCACGCGATTTATATGGATAGGATAATTATACATTTGTTAACATATTATTGAAACTATAATAATATTAAATACCGGTTTATATATATAATCAATATCTGGCACTTAATGGCAGATCATATTTCAAAACTCAATTTTGTATATTTATCCATTTATGCAAAATATTTAAAGTTATGTGGAAAACGAAAGACATTTTAACAATGATACATTACATTGATACAAATTATTATGCATGATTTTAAGTGCTTCTCTATTATACTAATTAAAGATGCCATCACACATTATCATTGAGTGAAAAAGTTACAAAATATGGTCTTGATCACACAATTTCATATAGGGTAAATTTTTTGTTAGTTCCTCATCCGCTTTGCGTTTTTCTTTTTTACATGTCATGTGCATATGCACGCGCATGTGAAAGTAAAATAAGATCAAACCTCTATTTGTATCAGTGCGTATTATAATAAATAGATGCAATTTTTATTTCTTCTCCTTGTCCATTTCAGTAACCTCTTTTTTGACAGAAGTTTTATTGTCAGATTTCTTGTCTTTATCTATGTCCATGGGTTCCTTCTTCACTTGGACTTTATTATCTCCCCACCTCGTATCAGTTTTAAATTTATTTTCCATCTCTGAACCATTTATCTCATTGCCAACCTTTTCATCTTGAATTTCTACTACCTCTACTTTTCTTGTATCACTCTGCATCATTTTTGCTGCTATATGGTAAATATTTTTTACTGCAGTTAGATAAGTATGGCAATCAGTCTGTAAACATAAAAAAATAATATCGTAATCGTTTTTTTTTTTTTTTTTTTTTTTAAATTGGATGCACATAACAAAAAACAAATATACTTACAGAAACTTTCTTGAGCTTTTCTTCTGTGCTTCGCAATTTATCTTTGTACATTTTTAAATCTTCCGAAAGATTTTTAATATTATTAGTTTGTTTTGTGGATTTTTCATTGACTATAGTTAGTTCATGCTGAATTTCCATCATACGATCTTCAGTGTCTAAACGCGCTTTCTCAGATCTTTTCAATTGACCAACGAGTTTTTCTACATCCAATAAGGAGCCTTTGTACAAAACAATACCTTCTGGAATTTCTTCGTCGCCTTTTTCTAAAATGCATCTTCGCGCCCTTTTCGAAGGCGGTCCGCTTCCCACAAATACTGGTAATAATTTCTTATTTCCTAGAAATGTATATGGGGTAATAATTAGTATTAATAGGCATATTGTATTATAATAATATATTTTTATGTTAAGAAGGTACATTACCGAGAGCAAGTGAACGCAATATATCTTCCTCATTTTCTGCTTTGGTCGATTCACCTCTATCACTTTCTTTATCGTCCTTCTTCTCGTCCTTTAAATCATCTTCTTTCGATTTATCTGTCAATTTGCGATAATGCAAAGAATCTCTCGTAACAACCTTTTGCACTAGTTTTCGTACTTGAGCTCTTGATAAATTCAGTCCCAGAGTGTAAATAAGTTCTTCTATATCCTTATCAAATATATATCCGCAATGTGTCTGATCGAAATACACAAATGACAGCAGAAGGTAAGGATCATATGTGTACAGTTTTGTTTTCCGTTTCTTTCCATCTTTGTCTCTATCCCTTCTACCATCTTTTACAGAATCGTCATCCTGTACAAATAATTACATAATATGTCATAAAATATATATATATAAACAAACATTTATATAGATTATATATTCCATAAATGTTATCCGTTTGTACAATTATAAAGTTTTTCAGCGCTTGAAGACAGTATTTTTATACAAGATATATAGAATAAAATATATAAAGAATAAATTTTTACATCAGATTCATCTTCTTCATCTTCCTCTTCGTCGTCATTTTTATCCTTTTCTTTGTCTTTATCATCTATTTTACTTTTTGCATCTTTGTCATCCTTCTTATCTTTGGCTTCTTCTCTCTTCTTATCATCCCGTTTTTCATCCTTTTTACTAGATTTTTTCTCATCTTCCTTCCTCTTATCGTCTTTCTTGTCATCTCTCTTATCATCCTTCTTATCTTTCTTTTTATCTTCGTCCTTCTCCTTAATTTTTTCGGGGAGGTTGGACAATGAACGATAAATGCGGAAGCCGAAATCTCGCATCAACATTTCGTTGAACAGTTCAGCAAAAAGAGATACTTCAAAAGAATGCTCCTATATGCAAAAGATTAAATGTATAAATTATCTTTTTTAAAATAAACTAATTTAAAAAATAATTTTAAAATAGGAAAAAAACCTTGGTATCTTCCGGCCTATAATCTAATAATACGCTCAAAGACATAACCGTGCAGTCAAATTTTCCACTCTTGGCCATTCTAGAGGGGTGAACGATAATATGCGATGAATCGGGTAAAGTGTATCTCTTCTCGAGTACGGCACGTTCACGTTCGTAAAGCTTTCTCTTATCTTCATCATGCTAAATAAATAAAAATTAATGATTTTTAATACTTAGATATTTTCAAGATATAATTTAATACATAATATCCGCATATATACATGCAATAAATATTTATAATTTTGTAAAATATATCTATTACTTACATCTTTGCTATCTCTAAATTTTTTATCGTCCTCTTCCTTCGATTGCGGCGAAACATCTTCTTCATTGTCATCTTCATCTTGCCGACCTTCCTCTTTGGCTTGTTCCGACTTTACAGCTTTCAAAAGTCTCGCTAGCAATTGCGACTTCAAGCCTTTCGAGCTCAAGTTACGAGCTGCCAGTTCTTGACGCAATTCGTTTACCTATATTGGATAATACATTAAATTTTGATTTAAAAAAGTAATAGAATAAAGATAAGAGTTTTATGTTAAATGCATTTAAGTACTAACGTTCATCGATTTCGGATCTAGCTCGGAGTAGTGCGTAGGATCTTTCTTCTCAGGCATAGAATCATCCTGAAAGAAGAAAGTGCACGTTAGTAAGAAGCAGAAGTAAAAAGCCCAGAGAGAAAACTACAAAACAGAAGCAGCCCCTATAACGAAACGAAACCACTCCCTCTTCATTCTTTCATCATTCTCTACTTTTTTCAACACTCTCTCTCGCATTATAACGATATAAACATATCTTCATTCACGATGACCGTCAAATATGACTTAATAACTGCTAGAATCTCATAGTGTCCTGGCTCTGGTGTCTGTGTGTTATGGATAATATCAATAAGGTTGTAGTATATAACGATGATTAAATAAAAACTTTTGAATGAGATTTTCTCAATGTTGGTGAAGGTTTCAGGAAAGGGAATGGCTCAGCTGTGCTCTTCTCCGAGCTAGGCTTGCTTGCTTCTCTTGTTAATGCAATGTGACTGCCATTGGCTAAGGGAGCGATACATTATCCGTCGATCCTCTCCGACATTTAAAAGCATTTGCATTAAGTATTTCTCGTTAACTTACAAAATAAAATAGTGATTTTAATATAAGTTATGAGATACGTACTTATACTTTGCCTTATTAAGAATTATACATGATGCTTTAATTTTTTTTTTGCGATATAAATGATACTTATTCCATAAAACAAAACGTTTATTTTATGGAAGAAGTCAAATCTATAAACATATATTTCATTCAAAAAGCTCAGTCTAATCATTCACTAACAATATATTTGATTTTTAAAACTACTGTCACAATACAACATATCTGTGCATTATAACCCAACATACCCAAATTATGACTTTTTTTTAACTGACAGTAAATGCAATCCATTGCATAAAAAAGAAAAAGAAAGGAAAAAAAATGATGGCGAGAAATAGCGCCTATAAGATAGATTGATCTACTATAGGATCGATGAACAAGTATAGCCTATTGAAAATCCAGTTTAGTAATGGGAAGAAACGGTGGCACGAATATATATATATATATATATATATAAATATAAAAAGGTATAAAAATAAAAAAAATAGAATACAATAAAATTAATAGTAATAAGCTTAAGTTAAACTTAAAGATAGTCATTTGAATAAAATTAAAATTGTATAAGGAGCCTTTGTACAAAACAATACCTTCTGGAATTTCTTCGTCGCCTTTTTCTAAAATGCATCTTCGCGCCCTTTTCGAAGGCGGTCCGCTTCCCACAAATACTGGTAATAATTTCTTATTTCCTAGAAATGTATATGGGGTAATAATTAGTATTAATAGGCATATTGTATTATAATAATATATTTTTATGTTAAGAAGGTACATTACCGAGAGCAAGTGAACGCAATATATCTTCCTCATTTTCTGCTTTGGTCGATTCACCTCTATCACTTTCTTTATCGTCCTTCTTCTCGTCCTTTAAATCATCTTCTTTCGATTTATCTGTCAATTTGCGATAATGCAAAGAATCTCTCGTAACAACCTTTTGCACTAGTTTTCGTACTTGAGCTCTTGATAAATTCAGTCCCAGAGTGTAAATAAGTTCTTCTATATCCTTATCAAATATATATCCGCAATGTGTCTGATCGAAATACACAAATGACAGCAGAAGGTAAGGATCATATGTGTACAGTTTTGTTTTCCGTTTCTTTCCATCTTTGTCTCTATCCCTTCTACCATCTTTTACAGAATCGTCATCCTGTACAAATAATTACATAATATGTCATAAAATATATATATATAAACAAACATTTATATAGATTATATATTCCATAAATGTTATCCGTTTGTACAATTATAAAGTTTTTCAGCGCTTGAAGACAGTATTTTTATACAAGATATATAGAATAAAATATATAAAGAATAAATTTTTACATCAGATTCATCTTCTTCATCTTCCTCTTCGTCGTCATTTTTATCCTTTTCTTTGTCTTTATCATCTATTTTACTTTTTGCATCTTTGTCATCCTTCTTATCTTTGGCTTCTTCTCTCTTCTTATCATCCCGTTTTTCATCCTTTTTACTAGATTTTTTCTCATCTTCCTTCCTCTTATCGTCTTTCTTGTCATCTCTCTTATCATCCTTCTTATCTTTCTTTTTATCTTCGTCCTTCTCCTTAATTTTTTCGGGGAGGTTGGACAATGAACGATAAATGCGGAAGCCGAAATCTCGCATCAACATTTCGTTGAACAGTTCAGCAAAAAGAGATACTTCAAAAGAATGCTCCTATATGCAAAAGATTAAATGTATAAATTATCTTTTTTAAAATAAACTAATTTAAAAAATAATTTTAAAATAGGAAAAAAACCTTGGTATCTTCCGGCCTATAATCTAATAATACGCTCAAAGACATAACCGTGCAGTCAAATTTTCCACTCTTGGCCATTCTAGAGGGGTGAACGATAATATGCGATGAATCGGGTAAAGTGTATCTCTTCTCGAGTACGGCACGTTCACGTTCGTAAAGCTTTCTCTTATCTTCATCATGCTAAATAAATAAAAATTAGTGATTTTTAATACTTAGATATTTTCAAGATATAATTTAATACATAATATCCGCATATATACATGCAATAAATATTTATAATTTTGTAAAATATATCTATTACTTACATCTTTGCTATCTCTAAATTTTTTATCGTCCTCTTCCTTCGATTGCGGCGAAACATCTTCTTCATTGTCATCTTCATCTTGCCGACCTTCCTCTTTGGCTTGTTCCGACTTTACAGCTTTCAAAAGTCTCGCTAGCAATTGCGACTTCAAGCCTTTCGAGCTCAAGTTACGAGCTGCCAGTTCTTGACGCAATTCGTTTACCTATATTGGATAATACATTAAATTTTGATTTAAAAAAGTAATAGAATAAAGATAAGAGTTTTATGTTAAATGCATTTAAGTACTAACGTTCATCGATTTCGGATCTAGCTCGGAGTAGTGCGTAGGATCTTTCTTCTCAGGCATAGAATCATCCTGAAAGAAGAAAGTGCACGTTAGTAAGAAGCAGAAGTAAAAAGCCCAGAGAGAAAACTACAAAACAGAAGCAGCCCCTATAACGAAACGAAACCACTCCCTCTTCATTCTTTCATCATTCTCTACTTTTTTCAACACTCTCTCTCGCATTATAACGATATAAACATATCTTCATTCACGATGACCGTCAAATATGACTTAATAACTGCTAGAATCTCATAGTGTCCTGGCTCTGGTGTCTGTGTGTTATGGATAATATCAATAAGGTTGTAGTATATAACGATGATTAAATAAAAACTTTTGAATGAGATTTTCTCAATGTTGGTGAAGGTTTCAGGAAAGGGAATGGCTCAGCTGTGCTCTTCTCCGAGCTAGGCTTGCTTGCTTCTCTTGTTAATGCAATGTGACTGCCATTGGCTAAGGGAGCGATACATTATCCGTCGATCCTCTCCGACATTTAAAAGCATTTGCATTAAGTATTTCTCGTTAACTTACAAAATAAAATAGTGATTTTAATATAAGTTATGAGATACGTACTTATACTTTGCCTTATTAAGAATTATACATGATGCTTTAATTTTTTTTTTGCGATATAAATGATACTTATTCCATAAAACAAAACGTTTATTTTATGGAAGAAGTCAAATCTATAAACATATATTTCATTCAAAAAGCTCAGTCTAATCATTCACTAACAATATATTTGATTTTTAAAACTACTGTCACAATACAACATATCTGTGCATTATAACCCAACATACCCAAATTATGACTTTTTTTTAACTGACAGTAAATGCAATCCATTGCATAAAAAAGAAAAAGAAAGGAAAAAAAATGATGGCGAGAAATAGCGCCTATAAGATAGATTGATCTACTATAGGATCGATGAACAAGTATAGCCTATTGAAAATCCAGTTTAGTAATGGGAAGAAACGGTGGCACGAATATATATATATATATATATAAATATAAAAAGGTATAAAAATATGGCATGATGTTGGCAGTGCCTTTTGATCAGCGACGGCAGCCTCATCGGTCTCATTGGCAGCATCCAAATCGTCGGTGTTAGAAGAGGCACGCAGCAACTTTCGCTCCAATTGTTTCTTATAGTTGAGTTGTAGCCCGTCCCATTCCAATCTGGTAGGTACACAGCTCCAAACATCTGGGAGAAATAGTATGACGGTTTCAACGCGAGAGGGTACCACTCGCCCGGACTTGTGGGTCGTTTCTGCGCGTCTGTAGTAGAGTTCCAGGAAGCGGTACCTGTGCCGCAAGGAAAAACAATACCCAAACGTCAACTCAGGTTAATGGCGCTTAGCGTTGCCTTATATGCTAAGTGTTCGTTCGCTTGTTCGTAAAGCCCACGCACTGCATACAAAGCCACGTACAGCGCACAACGTAGAGACCATTTGAGAGAGAGAAAGCACAACTTAATGGGTCACAATCATAATAATAATAGAACAATAGTGATGATTTGTCTGCCGCGACTGCTCATATATTGTCGTCGATGGGAGGGTGTGCTTGAAACCGGGATCCAGTGCAGCAATCTCCATCGGTCGCTCGTATTTAGAGAACAAATACATACCTCCACCGCAGAGAGATCGAGCTACAATCTTAGTTTATCAAGTCAAAGAACTGATATTAAGAGTTTCTCTCTATCGAAATAGTGAATAATACATCTATCATGGATATACACCTTAACACTATAGTGTTCTACCCTGACTTTTTTTTAAATTATTTGTTTTTACGTCATATAAAAAATAAAAATTTAGAAATGTAACTTAGACAATAAAAAAGAAAAAAAAGATGAGATTTTTTGTTTAAATATAAGAAAATGCAATGAATTCCACAATTGTGACCTTCTGTATTCGTTTGCGAAATAATATTGTTGGAATGTAGAATGTAGAATGAGCAATATACGCAAAAAAAATTCAGTGATATTACATTATTCTTTGTAACGAAACGGGGCTTTAAAGAAGCAATTCTGTAAAAGTGCTTCAGAATATTAGACATTCAACAAAAAATATTGCTACTTGAAAAAGCGTACCACTGAGTGCAGCTGGATAAATCTATGCCGGTAAGTGCTTTACAGGTCCTCACGGCCGTCCTAATTAATACAGACGGATCTTTTTCAGGATTAGGCCCGTCTAATGAGGGACTCCATGGCCCACCTATGGCCATTGTCTCATTTTTGCCCCGTAAGCCTACTAAGAAATTTATAAGGCGCGTAGGATGAACGTAATCGCGATCGGGATCCCTATCTTCAGAAACGCCACAACATCTTTTGTATATCTCTTCCATGGCAGGCATAGATATGAGCATGACCTAAAAAGCAATTAAGAAATATTCAATATGCAAAACCATTTCGACATGCATGCATGTATGTATATCCCAATCCCTATCACGTTATAAATATCGGCGCATAGATACGAAATTTGAAATCGCCCGTCTCTTGTCCTATAATGACAATCGCAACACAACTTCTTGACAGACCTTTGCAGAGAACAGATAATCAGCATCCGAGGGTTCTAGTACTGCTGTATTTTCATTACACGGATCGACGTCTTTATGTGTAACATGGAAGGAGCATGGTTTATTAAGGGTAAATGGCATATGTGGTGGAAAGGCATCGACCCATCTGAAGTTAGTTGAAAAGAAGTCGCTAGGAATATACATATTTTGATAGCGTCTTCTTATCTCAAGAACATCTGCTTCAGGCCTGTGATAATAAGCAGTAATAAAACTCTGCCAATGGATACACGTCCACCACGTAAAATAGATAATAAATTGTACTTACAGGTCGAGTGCGATTTTCGGTATTTGCACCATGTAACGCGGTACAACTCTTGTACGCCGACGAGGTCTGGGCGATTTGCTTCTTCTAGTCCTTGATGGGCTTCGATCCTCCTTCTTCTCGCGTTCTCTTATTCTCTCTTCACGACGTCTCTTCCGTTCTATTTCTTCGTCATCGTTTCTCCGCTCACGTGGAGATCTTTCTCTTACTCTGCCAACCTTGTTACGATTGCTGGTAGTATTGGAATTTGTTGTACTTGTTGTGAACCTACTACAATATAATGTAAGACTTCATCAATAAAATATTGCATCTCACATTAAAGTAATTTTACATATTATAAAATCTTCTGAACCAGATATTTGAAATATTTGTTAAAACTTGAACTTGATTTCAAATATGATTTGAATACTAGTAAACAGATTCATAAACTTGTGGTAAATATGAATTATTGGACCTTAATATAGTATTAACTATACGAGCTATATTAACTGATTCTAATAATTAAGATTTGGCTAACTAAAAATCAAGTAAATATTAGTTCATGCCATTAAAATGTAAATATAAATTATATAATAACAAAGTTAATAAAGACAATAATAATAATCACTTTACCTGTTGTTGGGATTTTCTGTAGGAGGCGGTACAGCATTGTAAGTGCTTGATGTCCTATTTGGCTGTTGTTGTTGCTGTTGTTGTTGACGGTTTGATTGGTTAGTTTGTTGAGTATTTGCATTGTTGCTATTATTACTCATAGGAAGCACTTGTATTCTAGTGGCATTCCATTTGAACGGCATAGAAGGATTGTACGATGCCTCTACAAGCACACGATCTCCTACTACAGGATTAGATCCCTTCACGCATGCACTGAAAGAAAAAGTGAGATGGATTTATTAATATTTATGAAAGCAAAAGTATGAAAAAAGATTATTCTTTGATCTACTATGTTTACCTAGTTTGGAAAAATACATCTTCATCTACAAAGCCAAAATTATCATGTACTTTGGTAACAGTGCCCGTGAAAACTCTTTGCTTTGTAGACGACGAAGGTACATTCTGTTGCACCTGCTGTGGAACACCAGTTACAGAAGGTTGAAAAGCATTTGTGTTCAATGCTCGTGGTGTCGGATAAGATACTGTAGCGACTTGTGGATATAACTGTCCTGCTATACCCGATGGCAAATTTGATCCAAGGGTTGCCATTGATGCCATAGTGATATTGGGCTACACATAAAGCAAATGTAGAATCATTTATATTTTTCTTATTAAAGATAATTCATAATACATATATCAACTGTAAGGAAATACTAATTCTTGATATTTACCTGTTGTAGTCCCAGACTTTGTTGGTATACTTGTTGAGTTTGTTGTTGATACTGCACCATTGGCTGCCCTCCGATGCTGCCCATAGCTTGACCTAACATTTGCTGCTGGATATTCTGTATACCTTGGCCTTTCACACACAAATACAGTTAAAAATCATTATACACATCACGATATAAATTGTATCAATCAAAATTTTAATACTGCTTTATTGTCATATCGAATAATTGTATTATACATCACGAATACTATATAAGAAAAAGATACCAAGAAAGTAACAATACTTGATATTGTTTTATTTCGGTAGCAGTGCATATAATCTTTGAAAAAGACGTTTTATTTAAACTAAAAGTTTCGCGAGAAAGATACGATTAATATAACGCGAAAACATTCAAAAAAAAATCAATGGGGATAAAAGAAGTAAATAACAGTTTCTCTAGAGATATCGTGTCGTTTCAGCGATCGTTACACTTTAGAGGTCATCGGAAAATCGAGAAGGCTTGTCGCACGATTTTCGAAAAAAACTTCGCCAACGACATAGCGCGTTTGCATAATAGATCGCAGATGATCCGTCAACTCGCGTAAATCGGCAGCGGAAAGAAGTTTGGCGACATCGTCGCGATCGTATTGCAGACGGGACGATGACCAAGGTGATCCCGTTCTCGTTACGGAAAGAAAGCGAGCATTACGCGGACTCACCTGCATTGCGGACCCACGGTGGGTTCTTGCCGCCGCCGAAGGGTGACAGATTGCTCATTATGCCGAAGTATCAGGCCGATTTATCGAGACACCTCTGTGAGAATATATGCGTGTATGTGTACAAACGCGACGGTAAATCTGGCAGGCACTCGCGTTCAGCGTCCTTCATTCGGGCGCCATGTTTTCACACGTACTACGCGAGTCGGAGCTCGGAGCAGCGTCCGGTTTGCGGTAGGAAAATCGCGCGCTAACCACTTCCGGTTCCGAAATATCTCCTCGAAGGATATGCGCGCGTACATCGACAAGATTGTAATATCAGATATCGCTGTGGTCTCTTATCAAATTGCGGCATCACAATCACGAATGTGTTTATTATAGTTGATATAATTTACAGGTACGTATATATTTTGGATATTTATTAAAATATCCTGAATTCTGTTTCCGCACGAAAGCGCGAGCACCTCTGTTCATTTCAATTGTACTTTTCATGTTTATCTTTCGCTCTTTCTCTCCCTAGATTTATAAAAAGATAAACAGACCTACGAAATTTATTTTTTACAGTTGCATTTTTTTATATTACCCCTTTTTGCATCCCTTTTTTAATAAAATAGATATTTATATTTCAGTGTTGGAGAGAAAAAGGGGAGAGAAGTGAAGAGAAGCTACGTGAAGTGAGCTACATAAGCAAAATAACAAATCTCTGATTGGTCCGTGGAGAAGCGCAAGTTTCGATAAATTTGAATCGTCGGTTAAACACAAAACGCGTCGCGATGGAGTTGCAGAGCTCGAATCGCGCTTCGTATTAAATCTATTTTTCGTAATTATTACCGTTTAAAAGTGAATTCCGTGCGCGACAGAGAATATCTAATGAAAGTGCGGTACGTAAGTGTAATAAACATCGCGCATGATCGTTATATTATACGCCAATATCGCGATTTCGATGATCCGTTGTTGCATATCCAGAGTGGATCGAAATCCACTTTGCGTATTTCGCGTTATCTCTTCGCATAAATCGAGAGTGCAATGGATGCAAATTACTTGCGATCATTACCAGGTACGTATTGTTCTGTAATATGTGAATAGCATTTGATAAATGTATTAGGTATTAATCATGTTTCTCGAAGAATTGAGAATTTCACATTTTTGCGATATTCAGACAAAACATGTTTAATTATATCTCATAGCATTTTTCTAAACTTTAATAAACATATAAACAAAGATTTTGTAAAAGATTGGAGAAAATTCAAGATTGTGAAATTATGTATATCTAGATTTTTCACACAAATTAAATGAATTACAAATACGTATATTTATACTTATACGTATTAATTTACATTTTTCAATTCTTTTAAATTCCCCAAAATTATACAAAAAATATATAATAAACATGAAATTAATATATAGAATCGAGCAATTTATCTGTATCTACCAAGTTATATATTTCAAGTTAGATATTTTTTAAATCTCTTTCTCTTTCTTTCTCTCTAAGTGAATCATTAATTTTCATGGTTTTCGAATACGTCAAGTCGAGTTAGTTTCATTTAATCGCTTTATTCTCTCGTAAAATTCTTCCCAATTATGTACAAAAATATAATGAGAATCATTACAGAGTTCGTAACGTTAGGTACATGACGCGATACGCTTTTTCACTGCGACCGCAGCCTTTCGCGCTTTCTTTAAATCTTTGAAGTGCGCCCAGTGAATATGAAATTGTGACATATGACATGGTACATTACACAATAATAATATGCGCAGATTATCCTTCTATGAACACGTAAAGTATCGTTTTATTATTTAGCACTGTGTCATGCAATTTTATATGGCTGTTTGCAATTGGCGCAAAATCTATTATATGACACAAAAATGTCCAGAAGATATCTTTGCAATGTTTTTTAGCACGTTTCTTTCGTTAATTTTTAATTTACGAAAAATTTAAGTTTTAATTTTTTAAAAGAATATGAATTTTGAATTAAAAAAAATAAAAGTTAAAAAACACGATACACATATTAAAGTATTATTGGAAATATAAGAAAGTCAATGTATTAATCTTTGCGCTGTATGTATTAATCTACTGCGCTAATTCATCGTCAATAAAGACAGCCACTTTTTCTATAGAAAAAATTACATAGGTTTATAAAGGATTAAAATTGTCTTGCAAAACCGTAGACATTAGAATTGACGTAGTTTCTCGTATAAAAGTATTGTGCGTTCGATGCATAAAAAAGAATCTTTGTTCGCTTGCTTAAATTGATAAAATACAATAAAATAAAAAATGCAATAGCAACGATATCTTCGTAGAAAAAATATCGCGTTCATATTAGTACAAAAAGATCGGAAGCTTCTTCTTGTCTTATCAGCGAAGTTTTTCCATTCATTTAGTTACCTGGTGAGGAACAAAGATTTAACGCGATCTTTTGATTGTTCACATTCCACGTTTCGTCAATCAATATAAGGTATTTCATTGACATATGCATGACAGTTGCAGATTTAGTATTCTTTAAAAACGGCTAAAAAATGGCTATGGATCGTGATATTCATAAAAAGTCATAATTTACGACTCGCTGACAAAAGCTGCTTTGTTGTGTGATGCTATCTCGCCAAAATGTCTTTTTCTTAAATGTGCTAATTAGCACATTATATATATTATGTTGTGTTCATAATACCATTGTATCACAAATTAAATAAGACTGTGATAATGCATAACAATAGATCTAACTATTAATTAGTTCAACTTTTATATATATATATATCGCAGTATTGTGTGTAAGATACCCACGCACAAAATCTATCTTCTTGAACACTCAAGAGCTGACTGAATATTTCTCTTAATTTATGTTCCGCTTTTAATTCTCGCCTTTCTCCCATTCATATGAAATTTTGTTCACACTCTGTCATTCAATTATGGCAGTTTTTTAGATTATGTGTATGCGTTTTGCCATTTGCTCTTCATTATAATAGTTATTCTCTTATGCTTATGCTTATGCTAAGCCGGGGCAACAAAGCTAAGTACATGTTCGTTATACATATAATAAATAATCAAATTTGTACGATGCAAAATCTGTAATGTCAACTGTAATATCAATTCCCGAGAATGTATTGCAATAGATCGGAAATCAAAGTTATTGTGTTCGTGCATAAAAAATTAACCCTAGTATACATATAACGCGACCTATGGAAATATACATCCAATATAATTTCAACATATTTTTGCAATTATACCCGGATTTACACAAGTGAACTATGCAAGCCTACAATCAAGCGTCATTATACACATCATTTTCTGCAATTTTCTGATAGTTTATGTCATATTATACATAAATAAATTGTAGAAGGTTCAAATATTTCATAAAAATTAGTAAATAATATAGAAGAGAGAGATAAGAATTCGATAACAAAAGATAAAACTTAATTGTAATCTTTAACAATTTTAGAGGAAATATTCAAAACAATCATTTTCAAAAGAAACGAAAGATCGGATAGTAACTTTAGATATTCTTGGAAATAGTTAATTATTATATTAAATATCATTTTTCTATTTTATTAGGAAAGAATAGATTTTTAATTATTAATTTGCTTTCTTGGTATAAATAAAAAAATATTTAAGAAATTAGCTATTATGTGTGTGTGTGTGCAAAATATATCTTTTATACAATAGTGCATTACGATATTACAATGTCGAAATCTTGCACACACATACTGGCGTTGTGAAAGTGCGACAAAAATATACATACAAGATACATATACTTGAACAAATATTTCGAGAATGTGCTCTCGCGCGCGACTATAATTGAAGAACATTGCATTTAAGAGAAAGAGGCTGCTTCACAAACATGGAACTCGTTATCTGCATAAATGAAAAATGCACGAACGCTTTTCGACGATACTCGTTTCCGATTTGTCCCGCTAACCATCGCTAATCCTCATCTCAATTGTACGTATACTTTCATAAAGGAGCTCATTATGACGACACGATGTAAGACTATTCTACGTTTAGATCTCACTCTCGTTCGATAGAGCTATTTTATCCGCCTGTAAAAATAGCCGGTTGAGTTTATTACAATCGAGAGAAACGTTTTATCATTAAAGATTTTTATTATATGTGTTTAGATCATAAATAATATATTCATAAAAATAGGAAGTGTACAAATATATTAATCTTATAGTGCAAATATTATGATCTCTAAACATTTGCCCTGTCCCTCGAATATATTATTATTTGCGTATGTGTATACATTTTGAAACACATCCGCGTTCGTATGACTTGTTCTGTGACCGTCCGTTGTGATCAAATTTACGGATTGCGTGTAAGAAAGGCTCATTACTCAGTGCGTGCTCCCTTAAAGCTTGATTCTACGACAATAGAGCTTCGTGACTTTCGCGACTTGAAATATCGTATACTTTTTTCGATCGATTAAAGCGTTCGTGTTCTGTTGTGCACAATGATACAGAGCCGCAGTGCGGTTTATTAAAGCCACTCGTATTGAAGATCAAAGCGACGAATAAATCTTTTTCGGCAACTTATATCGTAAATACTATCGCACCATCAATGGTAGAATCAAGCTACATAATGAATTAATAATACACAGAAAGTTATATATGCTTAGTTGATAAAGTTGGCACATGTCGCTAATAATGTATAACGTTTCCATAAAGCTTTATTGTGAAACAATTATCAATAAAAAATATGAATTGCTCACGTACATATAAAATTGTCATTTTGAATAAATTATTACATTAAAATTTCGTGTTACATAAGATATAAATATAAATAATACTTTTTTAACAAATAGCTAGAAATCTCGAATGAAAAGTCTAAGGCAAACATGAAGCAAATTTACGATCACAAGTCGTCTACCATGTTCGAAAAACATGGCAAGATATATAATTATTCTGAGAAACTTGAATTATTATCAGAAAAAAACAGGTCTCAATTTTTCAAAATTAATAAATTTCTAAAAGAGAAAAAAAAAACTTTACAAATTATTAACGATTGCCAACATAATAATATAGCCAATTCTGACGTACAATATTTTGGACGAATTGATCTGTATATAATTTAATCTTATAAATTTTTAAGAATATTAAAAAGTTTTGAACACAATCAAGACTATAGAAAGAGAGAGGGAGAGGGGGGAAGAGAAGTAACAAAATAGAGTCGATGATAACGGTAAGGCGAAAGAATTTAGTTCCAGCAGTATGTCTCAATGGAAACTGATCTGAAAAATTACGTACAACTAAACAACATTCATATTTGTATTCGACATGTATACAACCAGCAAAAAATGCATGCGTAGCGAACACGTCCTCATCGATAATTCAATTATCGATGATGAATGCTCTGCATTCTTCGTCGTATGTGTGTGCTTTATCCGGCTTGCTCTCGCATTATTTTTATATTGTAGCAAATATGATCTTTCTTTAATTAGTTTAGTTAAGCTATCTGTAATTTAAAAATTGCAGCATAATTTTGTAACGCCAAATATGGAAATCATAAAGTAATTTCTTCTCTTCGCTAATTATCTTTATATATTGTTAATGATTTTCGATGATGTCATCGCAGATATTACAATCTGCAATGACATTAACAATAATGATAATGAAAATCATTAATAATATAAAAAAGATAATTACAAAGCTTTAATTTAAAGATAATTGCAAGATTCTAATTTAGAGGTCACCCACGTTTTACGTAATTTACTCGAAAATAAAAATTGCGCATCTTTTCCTAGTGATCAGTTTAATCGCGTTTTTTTCTATTTTTTTTAAATACGGACGTCGTAACAGCCGTCTTGTCGATGACACTATGTTAGTGAACACAACTTCTGCTCTGCTAACAACGCAGAATATTTAACAAGATATCTTGCTTTATACACGTCTGCTCTTTTGTCCGGAAATCTCATCGTCTCTTCGTCCTCTTTACATATGAGCATAATTTGGTTCCGCAGTTTTACGTGTAGATTCGTAGACATGTTGCGAGATAATTTTTCATGATAGACAAATGGTACGATGAGACGAGCAGATGACTGGCACACCGACTAAAATGTTCGAGCTTCCAATGAGGCCGCAACGTGTCCTAAGCGAGCTTTTTATCTGTGATGTTATTGTTGGCGACATAACCATTGTTCGTTCCATTGCTATAACAGCTGTTGTATTCCTTGTTGTAGATCGTGGCATACGAAGACACGCCGTTGTGCGTCGCGCTGCCGTTCTCGTCCAGAACCGGCATACAACCTCCACCAGACGTACTATTATACATTCTTCTTGCGGAGCTTTTACTCATGGCGCCCACATATTTCGTTTTGTAAAAGTCCGAGAACAGTCCGAGGAATAGAACACCGTGCAGACCGATCCAGATCGTGAAACTTCGCGGATAATCGCACTCGGTGAAGAGCAATTGGAACTGATGGAACATGATCAACACGAATTGAACCTGTAATCCGCACAAGCAGTTAGGTAAGTAACTGTAAAAACAATTATAGAAATTATGTTGTATAAAATTTATGTTATTTCAATGGGGGAACCAAAATATTATACATTGAATATATAACGTTTTAAATATTAGAGAAAACAGTAGTAATATTGCGCTGATGAAATAGGATTATAGAGTGAATAGGATTTTAAATTAAGAATTCAGTCAGCGATTCATTTTATTCCATTTTTTATCAATTTCATTTATTTGAGTAATTTTATTGGATCCTAGAGAGCAATTATTCTTATGATTAAGCGTTATATATTTTTTTTTTACTAGTACGAATCTTAAACTGTACTCGTTGAAACCGCTCTCCAATTCCCGCTATTAATTACTATATATATTTGAAGAAGCGATTAAAAGTATATATACTTAAACATGACATACTATAATATTTTTTATTTAGGTATTATAGTTTTTAAAGATACTTTTGAAATAAAATTGAATGACTTTATGTAACATATATTTAAAAAATAATCGGAGATATTCAATTACTGACGAAATATCAAATAAGATGCTATTTGTGAAGTAAATTTCGCGTAAAGTATACACAACACATTATAATTGTGGTTTCATGATCGCTGCAATTGTCATTTCTAAATTCGTAATAATGCGAGGTGATGCTGAACTTACCATTTGCATGCTAGTGAGGTACTTTTTCCACCAAATGTACTTCTGGAACTGTGGTCCCATTGCAGCTACCATGTAATAGAAGTACATCACGATGTGTACAAAAGTGTTTAGGAGGGCGAAGAAAGTGCTATGACCGCCCGGTGCGAATTTCACCCCCATCCATACGGAGAAGGGCATTATCCCATGATGAATTACGTGAAGCGTTGAAACGTGTTGATTCTTTTTCCTCAGAATAAAGAATAGCTAAAAAAATATGCAAAAAATTTCGATTAATTAAATTTTCTTTTTTTTTTTCGCTATTTCGATAACTGTGATTAACGTATTTCTTTAACAATTTATTTTCTTCTTAATTCTGTAACGAATATTCTTAAATTCAAAGTTTTTGAAAAGTTTTGCGTTTCGGTAGACTATAAATATAACAAATTTATAAATCACGCGATAGACAGTAGTATTGTAATAATAACTGTTCTAGAGAGAAACGAAGTTATTTTTCTACAAATTATTGGAAGAATTTCCAACAAATATCTAAAATTCAAAAATGCTAAAGTTATAAATTAATTGATTAAATATAAAATTCTCGTGTTTTTACATTTGTTTCACATAATCTAATCAATATCGATAAATGAAATAAAAATTGATACTCACCGTATCGAAGAACTCGGTGAATTTGCTAAAGTAATACCACCAGCAGGTTCTCGCCATTCTAAGGGCTATCGGACTGGACGAATAGTTCACCGGTTGGCATCGGATACTGTAGCCTTTCGCCCAACCGCTCATCAAATACTGAACATCAAATCATTCAAATCGTTTGATTATATTGTTCGAAATACATTTTGTAACAATAACCGAATCTTTTATTATTTTTGTGTAAATTCTGAAAATAAAAAAAATCTGACTCGTCAAAATCAGAAAGTTCTTTATGTTATTCAGAAAATTTCTTATGTGATTTCGTTGTATTTTGATTGACGAATAACAATTGTATTTTCTTATTATAATGTTTCTTGATATCGTATTAAAAAATACGAAAGACAAAAACATAAATGATGCAGACAAGTGTATAGTAAAGTGCGTTAACTGTTTGCTTAAATTTAATTCACTTGAATTTAAGGATTGTTTTGCGTGGTCGAAAAGCGTCGGATGTTCAAGAAGTCGTTGAAAGTGTGAAATTAATTCGCTAAGTGGCTTCAATTATAGCTTTCAATTCAGCAGTTGCAGTACTGTTATAATCTGTTGCGCGTCGAAAAGACGGCCATTATATTTGCGGAGTAAATTAGTCTTACACTCCCTGTTCGCGTTCATAGCGATTCGTATTATAGTATTAATCGCATCGAGTTACACGTCCATTGAGTTACAATCCATTTTTAATCGAGATTAAAATATAGAAAAGTGAATAAATAAATAATGAGCGTACGCGATATTCAAAAATAAAAATGTTATACCCGGGGGAAAAAAAAATTGCGCGGGAAATATCAAGATACTCTTTTACATACTCTTTTTTGTATAATTTTCATGATCTATAAGTAATTCATAGTTGATAATATTGATAATATTAATAATATTGATAATATTAATAATATTAATAATATGTTTGAAAATTAAGTGTTGGTTACATAGCGAAAGAATTGGTATACATCGCGTCTTTACTCGATATATTTCCATTTCTTCATTTTTTATTCGTTTGAGTAACAAACTTTTGATGCATTTATTATTTGTCTTTCATATGTTTTTAATTTATCATCAACAAAAATATGCCGCTCTATTTTTAATCTAAGAAATAGAAAAAAATTATTTTGTTACTGCCTGGATTTGAGCAGACATAAAAGTTAAAACGAATAATAATAATACAATTAAAAAGTTGTAAAACAAGATACCAGGTTAAATCAAGTTGCAATATAAAGTTTTTAGAATTTTTTTATTTTCGAACAGCACAATTATTTCTTTAGTAAATTTTGCTAGAAGACTAGAATTTGCTAAAGTGCAATTTACATTGTTTTGCATTATCTCCCAGTTTATGTCAGACTTAATATTCATGCCAAGTTATAATTTCTGTTACACGCGATTGACATCATTAAATGGTAATTTCATTGCGTCGCGGAATGTCTATTGTAAACAAAATTATTAATTTTTCATTTATTTAACTCAATATTTTGCTTCTTGCATTCATATTGTTATAAAACCGCAAAATTGTTTATTATACATCGAATTTATTATACCTTTTTATTATACATACATCAAATGTCTAAATGTGAGCGGCGATAAAAAACGATGCTGATTTTTTATAAAATCTTCAAGTATAAAATTATATATACGTATAAATTTTTTGTCGATTATTAATATATATTTAATTCATACATTTCAACATCATCATCATGATGTATTAGCATAAAAGTGGAAATATAACATGACATTTACTTCGGAATTCTTTTATTGAGCAGAACTCTTCTTTTGATTAAACAGGATGTATTTAAAATGACTACTTTTTTGTATACTTTAATTAAGTTTAAAAAACTTTAATTAAGCGGATTGATGTCGTAAACATTCTACGCGTGTTTAAAGATTTCATTTAAATTCAATGAAGTTCTATATTTAGAGCCGACAAGATGAGCTACCGTATGTTACTTCAAAAGGATTACGAACGTATGTTCGTAAATAAATTAGAGAATCTGTTAGTGAGATTGACTCGTATCAGAAGGAATTGACTGAGGGAAGCGATTCAATTGCGCGGCAACCTTTATTTGAACGGAAAATAGCTGAACTTTCTTCTAGGACCTAGGGTAATCAATTTCTAAATATGAAGCAGCATTGTTCAGGAGTCCAGGCCTACATTCTAAACTAATTTTAAAAAGTTATTTTTCCATAGTTTACAATAATAAAATAATAAAAAACTACAAATTTCGCTAGATGCATAAATTAAAAAGAAATGAAGAAATTTTAATTACAAGTGGAAACAAATGGCAGAGTTAATTATTTTTGCATAATTATTTTTTCATGATTATTATATGGCATGTATTACACAGTGTGTGCTTTGTGATACATTTTTTTTCTTTTTAATATTTATTTGCAGTGCAAACTATTTTGGTCATTGCTATGATCTTTCTCGACGTGACAAAATTCTGGTTACTTTCGCGTGACATTGATGATGCATTCATATGCGCGTAACTGTATCGCGATACGCGTACGCAATATTAGATATGAGCCCAAATACGAATTTCTTTAAATATCGGCTCACACATATATTCGCCCGTGTCAATAGAAAATAAGATATATATATATATATAAAATGAAACATAAATATATAAAATTAATCTGCAATATAATCAATATATTTCTACGCATATGAAATGTAAAAATATAATATACAATAATTTATAAATAGAATATAATATAAAATAAATATAATATAATATAATCTTTTCACTGATGTGTCAGCTGTAACTTTCAGCTGATAATGTAAACAATTTATGACTTTTATTATTTATTCTAACATTTTCTGGGTTAAGAAAATAATAAAATTATTTGCAATTTTATTTTATTTTATAAGTAAACGTTTTCTAATATCATTTGTTTGGAAATGGATTTTAATCATTGGAGTCATTTTTAAATATTATAAATGTATATTAAGTATATTAAAATTATATACATTTTAAATTTATGTAATACGTCGACCAATAATTTTTTATTTAAATATTTGTATAACTTCTATCAATAAGACATTAATTAAAAGTTTCGAAAATTTATAAATCTTATCTATTCTCTTAAATCATTCTAAAAATTATTTATTTTTTAGGCGTAACATTATCTCTGTTGACGCAAATTTATTGCGGAACGCGATAACAAACGAATTACTTTTAAAAGTTTGACGTTTGTATAAAGTAGGGCACGATACCCTCCATTACAAAAAAGTGACCCGGTTACTAAAATATGCAAGTGTAATCAAATTCGTGCGTAGGTGTATTTATTAATATCTACATTTAATTAATATATGTGCGTAATATAAATATTAATTATTGTCCGTGATAAAGTGAAATATGTATATTCCACATGTAATTTTACATTACGGCACATGGAATTTCCGTCCGACAAATGATCGATATCGCGATTTGATCGTATTTCTAACTGAATTCTATTGCCGTATTATTCCAAGATTCACAAAGACAATAATAAAATTTCACTCGCAATCTAGATACAAATTTATAGAGTTCCGTTATCGCTCAGATATTATCGAAATATATGGTATTGTTTTATGCCATTTTATGATTTAGGCATTTGTAAATGTGAATGAATTAAGAAATAGGAAAGATTAATTATGTAACAGAAATTTATTTGATGCTTCAAAAGTGACTTATCTCAATATATATCAAAGTGGCAATTATTATAAGTGGACGGAGTAAAGTTTTTCTGTGAATAGTCATTTTAACTCTCGGGAGAGATCGTGGTTTCCCTCTAAAGTGATCTACCCTCGATTTAAGGAACCGCGTGTTATTACTTGCTCGGGCCGAGGTAATTATTGATTACGTTGAAAAGATACGCGGAAGGGAAGAATAATTGAAAGCAACTTCTTGTCGATTGACGCGCGGAAAAATAATCGCGGTCAAATTGCCGTAATTATATATTCATAAAGCGAACACTATATCTTATCAATTCGTTCAACGCAAATAATCATAGATCATGGTCGTTCTGATAAGCAGAAACACATTATTATTTCGCCAAAATGTCCCATTAATAAAGATAAAGAATTCTCTTTGATAATCGATTACTAAAATCTATGTTAAATTTTGGAACAGATATTTGAAATGACGAAATTCGAAATCTAATTCGATTTTGTTATTTGATTTCGAATTTTCCCATTTTTCGTATTCCTTTATAAATTATTAACAATAGAGCGTAGCTTAGAATTCTTCATTAGAAATGCGTTAATAAAATTAAATGATATAAAGATACATAAAAAAAACAAACCTCGTAGAATATCCAAGCGGAGAAGATAGTTTGTATGAGATTATACATTATGAGGATTCCGCGAAGATCGAAAGGCTTTCTGTTTTCCATCAATTTCGGTCCCAGAACTTTGCTAAAGTAAGCGTACGACAGGCATATCGCCAGGGTTGGGAAGGGGCTGCTCATCATTGCCCAATCGCTTACCCTGGGATCTGGAAACAAAAAAAAAAAAATACTTTTTTTAAGAACAAAAAAAGATATAAGATATATAATAAGAGACAATCATGAATGTGAAGTAGGAGTCCATGAGGAGTCTGTGCGTGAAATCATTTAAAGGAAATGAGTGAGATTTTAGGGAGGATCGGAAAAAGAGTGAAAGAGCAAATTGACATTCCGTCTCGCGAAGACAATTGACATTTCGTAATGTATGTATATCGTATGCGCATTGGAAAGTGGAGCACACGTGAGCACGATTTAAAAGTCGTCCTCGCATTACGCAATTATACGACGTGCACCTGTAAGGGGGTCGAAGTTCGAAATTGACGGTAGGAAATGCTGCGTAGCAGGAATCTATTACATCATCATCGATAAATTCACATTAGAAGCTGCCAATATGTTGTAATAAAATTTAGCAAACGATCAAGTCGAATCAACTGTCGTTGCATATTTACGCGTTCGCGTTTATTTCTCAAGAGAATTTTTAAATGTGTGCTGGTGTAAAAAAAAAGAAAGAGAGAGAGAGAGAGAGAGAAAAAAAGAAAGGATTATTATCCCGAGCGAAGCAGCAATATGTTCGTTCTTCCGCGAGCACCCTTAGTAACGCCATCGTCATTTTTCTATCCACCCTCGACGACGAAGAGAAAGCAGAAAGAGGCTCGAGTGCGTGCACGAGGCGCGAACGAGCGAGCAGAGTCGCCTTCCGGTAAATTACCCTCGCGTTCATGCGACCTAACGGATACGAGACCGATACACGGAACGATTTTTTTCACTCTCTCTTCCTCTGCTTTTTTTCAACATTCTCTGCGAAAGACTTCGATTCTCGGTCACAACACGATTGATCGACGACTCGATTACGAGCTGACGATGCGGCGCGGTCTGTCGTCGATATTACACGCCACACTCTTTATACGCTTCAACTTCAATAGCTCACGTTATTGCTGATTAATTTGTTTATTGTTTTATTGTTGAGTTAATTTAACCGTCTAATTCGCGGATATAAAGGTTGACGACTTATATATATACATATATATGTATATTCCGACGGGAAAGAGATTACATTTGTATTGATGTAAAAAAAATCGGATTTGCACATAACAGGGAGTCATGAATCGATAACAAAAAGAGACGCGCGCGATTGATGTCACAAGTACACGCCGGTTAAGTATTGGAAAGGAAAGTGGGTGTGAACAGATGAGATATGTACGAAATATGTACGAGGTATGCAACTGTAATGACAAAGCGAAATGCTAGGCAACGGGCAATATTACATCGAATTTCGTCTATTCTTACGTTCACACGCAAGCGTTACGTAATACTTTTACGAAGAGACTGATGAAATCAGCAACGCAACGAGGGCGTTTATCGTCACGGTCAGGCACGACACGGGCGCCTTTATGTCTATACGGCCTATGATTAGTGAAAAATACGAACCGCCACTTCGACGCCGCTTCGTCGGCTCTGTTTTCCGCGCATGACACGAAAGTTTACGTTGTAACGGTAAAAAAAGAAAAAAAATATATATATATATATCGTTCACTCTGCACCAACGATGCCGACACCTTCATCGATTTCAAGACGCGGCGAAACATCAAACGACTGTGCGTCAATTTACTTGCTACCGTCACGCCCCAATTAAAGATAACACCGATCTTACCCCGTATCAAACGCTGCATTGATGCCATTGACGAATGTCCACTTACGTCAAATAAATTCAATTCTCTGTAGAATAGGCATATATACAGGATGTACGTACACGTGTGCACGTATTTATCGTGAAACTCGGCATTAATCTTTTAATAATTTTTATAAGAATGTCACGCGAGGTATCGGAGTAGGAACCATTGTTAAATGATGCGCATCTGGAAATTCTGGTCAAGACTTTTGAATAGATTACCGGAGAAAAAACGGAATGTCTGGTAACCTCATTAAAACTAAGGAATTTCTTAGAGCGAAACTTTAAATTCCGTTAACTATACTAACTACTAACTCTTGATTTGCGAAATGGCCATTTGATTATTTATATATATAAATATATATTTGTATATAGTATTCCAACACACATTTGAAGATTTATAATTCTTTAGATTATTTAAATAAAAATAATAAAATACAATTGTAATTAATATGCAACGTGTAATCTATAAATAGAGCCAAAATAGTTAATATTCAAAAATAATTACATATTACTCGCAATGGAATTTTTTATACAATTTTTAAATAAACTATTAATAAAAACACTATCTAAACAAAAAAGATATAAATTTTTTTATAAAATATGTGGTAAATAAAAATAAAAATTTTATTTAGGTAATCTAAGGAATTATAAATCTTAAAATGTTGAAAAATGCTATATACAAATAAATATTATTATTATAAATATTTTATCATAACTTTTTTTAAAAGTTTTAAAGTAAAATCTAGCTATTCTTTATACGAATTATATTACATAATAATGTAAAATGCATCGTTACATCACTGTGACAATAAACGAGAAATAATTTCGCAAATAATAAATAAATTATAAATTTTGCTTACGTCGCAGTTCCGCCGTTGTCCGATCTGGGCTTTCTCCTCCTTCACTCTTACTATTTCTTCACATTATTCACACACAAGGACTCATAAAAACACGGTTAATTATAATCGCATACACCAGAATGCGACGATCGTGTGCTACTTTGCGCAACGCTCCCGATATTAATCACACATGACGCTTTATTATATTGTGGGAGAACAACGCTAAAATTATGTACAGTTTGCTCGACATTTCAAAATCGTGCGATATTGCAAATTCACGTACCACTCGCCGCGGTAATATTACTTTTGTTGCTAACAAAATACGCATTTAAGAAGAATTCTACTATCTCTTGTTATATCGTAAATGATAATAAATATACGAATTAAAAGTAAAGATAAAAATCCGCGGAAAATGGTATCTGAAAATATGTCGTCGTTTTGTTGACCGTTCACATGATAGACCTCGATCGTACAAATCACGTAAAATAGGCATCTTAACAAATCATCGATGTTTAAACGCTGAATTTTTGCTACGTATTTAATAAATATCAAAAACATTTACCAAAAAAATTGAAAATGAAATTTGGCAACTTTACTGTGACTTCATCGTGCAATACAAATCGAATTAATTGCTGTTTAAAAAGTTATAATTGCGAAAATGAATTACTCACACGATTTGGTAATCGCTAATTATAATAATGATCGCATTTGATATCTCCTGATATTTATCAAGATTATTCGAGATAATACTTGACACACGAAGCCCCTGATTACCTTCTCGCTCGAGAGTCGCTACGCGAATGACATCAAGACGACCATGTAAATAGTGGGTAATACATTCCAAATTCCACAACATTCTTTGCGACGTATAGAGCGCTATTGTTTACGCGTGCGGTCTTGTCATTTGCGCGGCAACATCCGAACGCTGAAGTAGTGGTGTGAGCCTTTCCGTATATACAATACGTCATCTGTTATCTCATATCAATACTGACTAAATGACAACGAGACTTCACGTGTAAATAGCGCTCTATACATCGCAAAAAATATTGTGGAATTTGGAATGTATTATCCCAAACTGCTATTCTTTTTACATATGGTCGTCTTATTGTCATTTGACTTTCGAGAAGGTAGTCAGACGTATATCGTATTATCTCTCGAAATATAATCTTGACAAGTATCAGGAGATATCAAACGCGATCATTATTATAGCGATTACCAAATCGTGTGAGTAATTCATTCTCGCAATTATAACCTTTTAAACAGCGATTAATTCGACTTATATTGCGCGGTAAAATCACGGTAAAATTGCCAAATTTTATTTTCAACTTTTTCGGTAAATATTTTTGATACTTGTTAAATATGTAGCAAAAATTCAGCGTTTAAACATCTATGATTTGGTAAGACGCCTATTTTACGTGATTTGTACGATCGAAATCTATCACGCGAGCAGTCAACAAAACGGCGACATATTTTCAGATGTCTCGTTTTCTACGGATATTTATCTTTATTAATTTTAATTCGTATATTTATAATCATTTGTGATATAACAAGATAATAGAATTGCCCTTAAATGTGTATTTTGTTAGCAACAAAAGTAACATTGCCGTGGCGAATGTACGTGAATTTGGAACGTCGCACAATTTTGAATATCGAATTGTACATAATTTTCGCGTTGTTCTCTCGTCAAAATATAATAAAGTATACGTATATGTGTGAGATAATATTGCTGTACAAAGTGGCACGCGATTATCGTATTCTAGTGCGTGCGATCGTAATTAACCGTGTTTTCGTGAGTGTCTTGTCAGAGCCACGAAGAAGCAGTAAAGAACGAACAAAAGAAGAAAGGGCGGAAAAGGAGGCATTAAGCGAAACAACTATGAGATAAGCAGAATTTCGATAAAAATTGACAAAAACTTACACCCCACGAATCACTTTAATCTTAATATATAATTGTAAAAGGCAAATAAAATAATCTTAATAAAATTAAATTTTTATTTATTAAATATTTTAGAAAAGAATTTGCATTTTTTAAAAGAAAATATTTTTTCCCGGGAATTATATGTGATGTTTTTTATTACCTATTTAAAGATCGAATGAAAAATTCCATTGTGCGCCATAATTATTTTTGGAAATATTAATAATTTTAAACTTTGTTATATACATACATATATACATGCATATATATATATATATATATGTAGATAATTATTCGTAGTGACCAATAATTGACAGCTATCGTTTGAATGTGTATTGAAAGCTTAAGGTTTATGGAAGTTATAAATAAGGTATGGAATTTGATATCATAATTCTATCGTATTATTCCATGTAAAATAAATTACGATTATCATGAAGCAATAATATCATTTCTAAGAATAAGTATTTACATCGTTATTTAGCAAAAAAGTTTAATCATTTCAACTTGTATACGTTGAAAGTGTGTATAAAGCCGACCACCGCATAGAAACGTCACTCTGTAAAA